TTGGTATAAGTTTGATAAAATGTCTGGTTAGCTAGCTAATGCCTCAAAATATCTCTGGGGTCAACTTGCTAGAAATTCATAGACTAGGTAGCCAGATGGACAAAAAAGAAAATCAAACCAGGTGCTGAAAGTAGTATTTAAATCATTCAAACGTATGGGACTTAATACTACAGAATGGAAATAAGCAAAAGAGACCAGTTTTTGAATGTAAAGACTTGTTGCTACCTGACCATATTGAAAATTGAGAGGCTGAGAAAGAACTAAAACCAAGATATGGTGTACGTGAAAATGACCAAAAAATTGATTTCCGAATAAGGCCCTGACAGAGAATGAATCCGAGGTCACTTTGGTTGCAGCAAGAAACCATTTAAATGGTCTTCAGATCTGTTACACAAATGCTCGGAGCTTGTTCAACAAGCGATCGGACCTAAGTACACAGATAGATTCTACCAGACCAGAAATAATCAATGTCACAAAAAATCCGCTCAGCCAATCTGAGGACAGTGAGGAAATTAATTTCGGAAATTTCACATTTGTAAGAGCCGAGAGAACCCAGAAGCTTGAAGGAGGAAGAGTAGCTTTATCCATTAGAAATACTATCCCGTTACCGTTATTGATAACATCCCATGAAAGTGAAATATGTGAAACAGCTTGAGGTATTCGTGAGTCTGTTAGTGCACCGCACATTCCTTGTATTACACTGAGGAATTAGAACTCCACAGAAAGGAGGTCCGCAACCTCATCCGTAAGAGGGAAAGAATGTGGGAGAGATTCAGGTTATTGTTACTGTTGAGATGAAATCTGCTTCGGTTTGGGCACCCGAGCAGTATTACAGCCCTCACACAAATCAAATGAGATTTGTGTGGCGCATATATATTTGGTGCCTCCTTGTATCAATATCTATGTGTTCAAATAATAATAATAATAATAATAATAATAATAATAATAATAATAATAATAATAATAATAATAATAATCTGGAAGCTCGAAACATTTGTGTCTCGACTCTATGCAAGTCTAAAAACTAAAGAAAAGCTCGTTAAGGAGGTTATAGAGTACCCTAAACGCTTATAATCGTACATAAACCAAAAGACTGAGAGAAGAGGCAACATCCTAGAAGTGCGACATCACTAGTGCAGGACAATTGCAGTAATGCTTGGGCATTCTCAAATAACTTTAGCAGTGTATATACCGAAGAGATACCCTCTCCTCCAGTTTATACAAACCCCCATGCATACTTTGGACACAATGACCATCAGACAACTCGATATTTTTGGTCTGATAAATAAGCCTGATACAGGCAATTCTATGGAATAAATCCAAAGGGATTAGCGAATTTTATCGCAAATTCCTTAAGCATATATTTTAATTTATCTGCAACCCAAGGTAGACTACTAAAGGATTGAAAGTACGCTATAGTAAGCCCTGTATTAAAAACAGGTACAAGACACAAACCTGAGAACTATCGACCCATAAGGCTAACCAGAGCGGTTGTTAAGATTTTATGAAAAGCTATTCGGAAGTTGTTGAAATATCTAGACGAAAACCTCGTTCTTTCTGAAAAACGGTACGGTTTTATAGCAGCTTATTCATGACTCATAAACTTATTAGTAGATCGTCAAAGTTGGTGTGCTCTTGAAGATCAAAAGCTACCGACAGATACAAACTTCTGGGTTCTATTGGCTCTTACGAATGTGAAATTTCCAAAATTAATTGACCTCAGTAAAGTTTTTGACAATTTTCTGGACAACAGTAGTTATCTACGATGAGATATCGGGATTGGAGGTAACTTAATTATGTAGATAAAGTACTTCCTAGTTTCGTGTCAACAAAGAGTACAGGTTGACTCCAAGCTATCTAGCTGAGGAACTGTGCTTAGAGAAGTTCCCCAGTGCACCGTTTCTGGGCCAGTATTATCCCTCCTGTATGTAAATGAACTTCTTGGTCTCCTTACATTAGTAACGTTGTTGTATGCTGACGATATCAGTCAGTCATCTACAACGTAGGACAGGGCACATATATGCATCGGTCCAAGTTGCTATACTTCACTGACTCAACAACATGATCACCAAATTCATAGAAGCAGTTACTTCAATGGTAGTAATATATAAAAGAAAATTGCATATAAGGATATAATACAGGAATAAAGAATTAGTTCTTTGAAATAAAGGTATTAATTAATTTTAACCTTACGGTTTAAGGGAAGACAAACAGTGCATACAACTACACCATTGTGATTGATTTTGCGCCATGTCACCAAGGGTCTCCAACCACTGGTTACGATCGTCAGGCGGACCCCAACCAAGTAGTCTGCATCTACCAACATGATCGAGACTAGGAGTTAGTGACTCCAAGAAATGATGCCACGTTTGGCTTTGGCCACCCCTAACTTTCTTCCAAACGTCTCCAACACTAGTCAACATTGCACGTCGTGGCAATCGGTGTTTGGGCATGCGTGATACTTGGCCCAATCATCTCAGTCGATGTAGGTTCGCAACCTCACCAACTGATTTACCATCATTCCCTAACACCCTGCGTCTAACCTCACTATTACTTACCCGGTGATCCCAGAAGATGCGAGCAACATTTCTAGGACATCTGTGGTCGAATACTAGTAACTTACGAGTGTCCTCTATCCTCAATGGCCACGTTTCGCTGCCGTAAAGTAGAACAGAACGAACTACCACACAGTATACTCGTCTCTTAATTGGTAGACAGATATCTCGCCTTCTCCATAGGTGACGTAAGTTGGCAAAAGCCAAACGAGCCTTCTGAATCCGTGCTGAGATTTCGTCAGATACCAACCCACTAGGGCTGATCAGACTTCCAAGATAAGTGTTGTCACCGCGCTCGACTGCTCCACTCCCTATCCTGAGTTCAGGTGTTGGCTCAGGCCAACCCTGGAGCAACAGTTTGCATTTAGAGGGGGAGAAACGTATTCCAACATTCATGGCATTGTTGCTTAGTGCTACCACAAGACTTTGCATTTTAACGTCTTCACCAAACAGGACTATTTCATCTGCCCCAAATGCCCTGGTACGGCCGAGAGTGGGGAGAGTCAGCTCTCTCTCGCCATATACTCTCACATGGCCACGTGTATATAGCCTCTGCCAGGGAAGTCCTACTCATTGCTTTCTCATGGCTTGGGTGTTGTTTATAAAATTGAGAGGACGAAAAGCGAATGTCCGGTGCTTTAACCGGGTTAGTGGACATGGAGAGTTCACCGATGGTGCACATGGACTGGTTTCAGTATCCTGAAGTAACAAACGGCGTATGAACCAATTGTTGGTCACCGGCTTCCATGGGAATGCATCTCCTTACGATGCTCCACTGCCTTGTGGATCAGACCTTCAGGTCGAAGGCTCGGGGTGTGGCCCCCTAAGAAAACCACCTGTTTCGGTTTGGGCACCCGGGCATTATCACAGCCCTCACACATATCGAATGAGATTTGTGTGGCGCACATGTATTTGGTGCCTCCTTTCTTACCAAGATATGGAGAGCTAAGAAAATCGATGATATTTTAGAGCCTTCAAATGACCTGTAAAAATTATCTGAATGGTCCGAACGGTCCATTATGATGTGTAGTGGTCGTCAAGGCACAGATACACGGTGAACAATATTGAGCTGCCAGTTGTACAAACACAATGATATAATCAATACCTATATATATTGCACACTCCCGTGCGACAGCAGCCAAAGTTTCTAGAAACCTCTGGTCAATATGTAGAGTCTTCAGCCATGTAGATGCTAAGGCTTTTCTGATTTAGTGGCGTTTGTTTATCGTAAACTCCAGTATTCGGTACAACCAGACAACATAAGCCTAAAAGAAGACAGTGAGCAGTTGAGAAAGATCCAAAGAACAACGATCAAGTTGATTTGTGGGATCACAAAGTTGTCGTATGACAGGACTGACTAAACTAAGCTTGTTTCCTGTGTCATGTGAAAGGATCGGAGATGACCTGGCCACACTATCTAGGTTGCTTAAGGACAAATTTACATTTGATACCCTCACCTGTTAGTCTTCGAAAACAGAATTTATGAGGACACTACGAAAATGTCTGTAAGCCCTAAACAAATTACGGCGAGACTATAATATATGGACGAACCAATAAGTCTTGAGTTTTGTCGGGAAATCAACTTATTCATTTGGCTAAAAAGTTTTGACATTATAGCTAATGTCAGTTTGTGATGAAAACAATACAGTTAATTCTTAGCCAGAACTTTCAACCGCAAATATTAATCATGACTACTCACAGTGGTTTCTAACCCTCATTTAGCCGTACTACGTAGGTGGACATTCTCAACCCGACCTCCGTATTTTGGGCAAAATTTGAACCGTTTTGGAGAAATTTTAGAGAAGCCGCTATAGGAACTTTGGAGGAGATGGCATAGAGACTTTAAAATTTCCCGTTAACCTTGGTCAAGGCCATTTGACTTTGGGGATTTTCCCAAAGTCTGGTGAGTCATTTGGCTTTGGAGGTTCCCCCAAAATCTACTCGGAATTCCCTAAAACTTCCCCAGACTTAAAAGATTGGGAAGGTCTTTTTAGAGTCGTACAAAGGTCGTCCATAAATTATGGTCTCTCGAAAACACTACTACCGAGACTAATTCAGGCACTCAGCCTCCTGCCCATCCAAAATAAAAAAAACTGCAGATTGACGGTGAATAACCACCAGGCGTTAATAACAGTGCACAATATGCCGTACTTCTTTTTGGAGAAAACGTTGCAGATTTGTGTTGAACACGAAACAGCAGTTATACTTGAAGATAATGGAAACTTCTGAAGAATCCGCCGTATAATGGGTCCAAAACTCGATAAACCTATTTCAGGTCGCGGGATGAAAATCTACAGTTGCATATACATGAAATAGATATTTCGGGTGTTTAGGTATTGAACCATCTAGATAATAACTCACTAACATGGGTAGAACGGTCCTATAGAAGAACCATAGTCAATGCATTTTTACGAGGAACAACGTTCAGAAATCTATTAAACTTACTTTCGCTTTTTTTCTTCGAAGTCACCAGACTGTGTAGAACCGGTATCTACAAGAGTCTCAGAAGATGGTTTTTTAGGATCGAAAGCCGACGTCAATTCGTCCAGATCTAAGCCAAAAGCAGACATGATATTCAAAGTCCCTCCTTCATAAGACCCTTGACCTTCAATATCCAATATACATACGATGAGGTTATTTTAAACGATTGACGTTTCCAGCTCGCTTCGTGCTATTATTTATATAGTTTCAGGTCTTCGGTGATGTTCATTGAGTGTATCTTAGCCGTTTTACCTTCTATATTTATCATTTTGGTCGTTATTTCTGGGTGTGTAGATCCTGTAATCAGAGTGAACTTGTCCCAGAGCAGTAGGGTTTCTGAGATACGTGAATATCACATCACTGAAATAAAAATTAGTTAAGCGCAGAGTGAAAACAATAGAAATAAAATTTACATGTTGACAGATGATCGTTTCAGAAGTTCAATAAACAATTAATTTAGGTATTTAGAAATACAAATGATGTGAGTAGTCTAAAGTATAGGAATAAGAAAGGCAACATAGATAATAACAATAATAATAAGTGAAATAGAAATATGATGTCTGATAATTACAATGGCACATGAATTACGAGACCTGTATTAGGCGCAACTAGCCCAAGGCGAAGGCGGTAGTCCATGTTTCTGTAGAATTATGGTGTACTATGATACTAGTACTGCTCTAATGATAGACCTAACCCTAAAATTGTGTACTTGTCATGATATAACTGCCTAATCCATAAGATCTTACGTAGAAGTCATACCATCGTCTACACCAACTCATTGCATCGTAACAATTACCAATACATGATGGAGAACAAACTTAGGCTAGAGGTAGAACAATATGTTTAATATGAATAAAAGATATAAGATAACATCCAACAAGGACCACGCCTGCAAGGTCGAGTCATGCCATTCGATCAACTACAATTAATTCAGCTCCTTGTTCCTGCCTTCTCCATCGTTAGGTATTTCTCCGCGTTAAGTATTGAATATCTATTTTCCGAGTAGTCTCCTATCGAGCTTTGAGAATTGTGTGGTTATGGTCCAATGCCACTACACTGCTCTCCCACCAGAATCAACATGACGTTTTTTCTATATCAATTTGAGTGGGGTTGTCGCGCGCCGGAGGTTACGAAGAATAGTGTAAAACCTCCGGGTATTGATAAGCTGAAAGATAAATCAAAATGTCTGGTTTAGTTCCTAACACGCTTAAAATGAAAATTTAGGTAAGGATTATTTGAGCTAAACAAAATGGGGTTATAATAATAATAAAATGACTCCGTATCATGATATTTTAATAAGTCGCCGTTAGATATAACTTATAGGTAGTACATATTTTATGTTCAGATATATTAAAAACAATCAATATTGTAGAAATGTTAATATTGGTACTAACTTCGTTTTGGTTAAGAAATCGAACAACGTTTATGTCCCTAAGTTGTCCATATGAGCTGATTTCCAACTGCATCCGTATTCGTAGGTAACTGAAGGAACAAATTATAACCGTGGAAAAGAATTCCAAGTAGTGTTCCAGTTAGTTTGATACGGTTTACTTAGTTACTAGGAGATTTTCTCGACCTCATTTTTACTTGATCGTGATAGAATTTAGTAATACTACAAATGCATATGAATGGTTATCAAAAAAATGTAAATACGTGAGTGATAATTATGTGAATTTTGGACAGATAGCTTAGAACAAATCGTAAAACATGAGTGTATTCGTAAGAGATATGCTCTAGACTCAACGTTCTGATTTTCCGTAGACTATTTATTCACATTCATACCTACCGGCTGATGGTACATACAAGTTAGTTGCAAGTATGTAGTTCAGTATAAGACGGAATACCATTTCATTGACATATAGTGACTATAATTTACTGAAATCAGTTAAGCCACATTTCTCGGTGATGTGGTGCAGCAGGATGTTTTTGGCTAAATAAGTTCAGATGATTCAAGCGGTTGTGGACAGAATAGAAGAAGCTTTCGCTTAACAGGTTTCCGTGTCTAGTAGCAAAGGATCAGGAAAATACCTCCAGTCAGGAACCTAGATATATAATAACGATAAAAGAGGAAAAGAAATTGGTAAATCATAGTACGACACTATCCTTAGACCTCAAGAATAGACCGAGTTTCCTCCTAAATAACTCTTGGGAAGTGGCTTGAACTAGCTCAGCCGGCAGCGAATTCCAGCATTTGACAACTCTTAAGGAGTATAAGTTTTGTCTACAGTCCGTTCTGCTATGTTGTGTCATCAATTTATGGGTGTTACCCCTTAGGTTAGTATTGAGACTAAGCTTAAGTAGGTGTTTGAGGGGATGTCCAGAAGTGTTAAGGATACTATAAGCCATCAGAAGGTCACCTCTAAGACGCCTATACTCTAATGGGTAAAGGTTAAGTGACTGGAGGCACTCTTCATAAGGTCTAAATTTGAGTCCTCGAATTGATTTCGTGGCTCGCCGTTGGATACGCTCCAGGGTGTCCTTATCCTTTTGGAGTGAGGGAGGAAATATTATGTTTCTGTACTCTAAATGGGAACGGATAAAACTATTGAAGATTATATGGAAAGTTCTTCCGTCAAACTGGCCAAAAATGCGCTTCAATGTTACCAGTGCAAGGTTTGCTCGGAAGGCATTTTTGTCACAGTTAGCATAAGACTTTAAATCGTAGGGCACCAAGACTCCTAAATTTTTTCGACTTGGGATACTACTAGAGAGGAGTTACCTAAGTTATGACTGTAGTCTACGACATGTCACAGATGGACTACTTTACACTTTGAAGTGTTAAAGGTAAGTCCATTATCGTCCGCCCAACTTTGAAGTCCAGTCAGATCCGCCTGAAATGCCTGTATATCCTCTTGGTTGAGAATCTCTCTCCAAAGTTTCACGTCGTCGTCAAAAAGTGTCTGATGTTACTTGTTGAGGAAGATCATTTATGTAGATCAAGAAGAGAAGAGGTCCTAGCACTGAACCCTGGGGGACCCCACCAGGACATTCCATAGCCTGAGATAAAGTGAAATTAACCCTGGCCTAAAAATGTCGATTTTTCAGGTATGAAGTGAGTCAATCGATTAGAGGTGGTTTGATACCTAATCGTATGAGCTTATTGATAAGACTTGTATGGTTAACCTTATCAAAAGCTTTTGAGAAATCCAGGTAGATGATATCAACCTTCCCCTTGTGATTAAGGATGCTTGTCCATCTGCCCACCGCAGTCAGCAGGTTGATATTACAAGAGTAGCCCTTCCTGAAACCATGCTGTTGGGGTGAGAAGAAATTTAGATGCAGTAAATAGTCATGTATACCATCGAGTACTGGGGACTCCATAATTTTTGAAGGTCGGTAACTTGAAGGTTCACTGCGTCGACCTCCTTTGAAAATTTGTGTGATGTGGGCCAGCTTCCAATTTTACGGTAGTTTGCCACGGCTATGTGATTGTGAGAACATCACGCTAAGCGGTGTTGACAAGATTGAAGCTGCTTCCGTCACTATAGCAGAATGGACATATCCGGGCCAAGAGAAATGTGTTTTCTTAGGTGCTGCGGTTTCCGGAACACCAAGTCAGCGCTCAGGTTCACTTCGGAAAGTCCTGTGGAATTGCAGATGAAACTGTCATCAGTAAAGTTGATGTCGGTCGATTGAAATGTCTGGGAGTAATGTGCCGCCAGAAGGTTAGCGGCGTCGCCATCGTTGTTGGTCGGGCCGTCAGCACCCAGCAGTTGGGGAACTCCAGTTTTGGCTTGACGAAGAGAGGCTGCATAACGGAATAAGCTTTTAGGAATAGAGGAAAATCTGTCCATAAGCTTTATCTGGTACTGAAGCCTGTCTTCTCTTATAGCCTTCGTGCATATGTTCCTTATATGTTTATGCTGCCTCTACGCTGCACTGTTGTCGATTCGTTTTTATTCTGCCCAACAGTGCCTTTTGTAGCTTAGCAGGCGAAAAGTGCGGTTTTTGATGATTGTAGGTTGCTTGTAGCCTTTAGGGGCGGTTTGATGAACTGATTGCTTTGTAGCACATAAGAGCGTGTGCAGCAAGAAGTCCCAATGAGTATTCAAATCGAGTTGAGGGTGAACATCCCAATCCACTTGTTGTAGGTAGTCCTGTAGAGCTGACACATTCAACCGTTTGAAATTCCAGCACATGTTGTTGGTGGGATATCTTCGCTCAGTTTTGCTGACAAAAATAAAAGCTTTAGAGGCATGATCGCTTTTCTTCAGAGGAGCCAGGATTGCGAGGTTTTCAACTGGAAATTCTTCATTTTTACGATATAATTAACAGCGAGTGATGCTCATGTGGTTGTCAGGGAGAATATAAGTTTTAACCAAGGGAAGTACGCTTCCAACTCTCGTCTATGATAATGGCTTGAACCTTAGTCAGTGTTGGAGTAAATTCGACAATGATGTTTTCAGTTTGCAGGAGGTTTGCTCGACTGCTTATACTGATTATTTGCATGCATGATTGTGTCGCTGAACCTCCAATTAGACTGACAAGGTTTTGAGACATTTACTGAATGAGTAACTGATAGAAAAACATAATAGAAATCATCTGTAGTGGATGAAGGTGACTTGTTGACCGACTTTGTCAATAGTTTCATCAATTTTATCAATCACATTACGTGATTGTCAAGTCATGACAATGCTTTATGACGATATCCTGAAACTATTACGTTTAACTAGTTATAGTGTTGATTGAGGATTAGCCAGTGGAAAAATAGGCATTGTTGCTTTAGGTGATTCAAAATTATCAGAAATTTGTAGCTTTAAAGAATCAGAGCTACCTTATTATATTATAAATTTATATTCGAAAATATTCGTCGCTTTTCAATTTTAGTAGGCTCCGGAGTTTTGATTTTAAACGTTTGTTCAGTCAACAACTACGTGAGAATTTAGTTATTTTACTAATGCAGTTGGTAGTGCCTAAATTTGTAATTTTATTATCTAAACTAGGTCCGTATTTTAGGCTGTTAATATGATAAACCAATCCATAAACCTAAATACGTATAGCAACAACGACTATGATGGGTTTATTGATAAATGTTAAGGGCGATTCAGATGAGGTCCAAATTTAGAAGACATGAAGATATAGTGCAACG